CTTTCTGCAATGCAGGGGGTTGGACTAGTTGACCCACCAGATCCCTTCTATTATTCTACTGAGGTTTATGAGTGGGTCTAGAATGATTCGCAAAAGTTTGCTCCTGAGGAGTGGTTATTCACAGTGTAAACTGTACTAATCGTAGTCACAATGCACTGTAATAATAATGAGAACTAATTCTGCTAGATTTCCAGGAGTGACTTTTGCGTCATGTGAAAGTTCAATTATAATATGGAAGTTAACAGTTGCTGAAGCATTGGGGAAACAGAATAAATCATGGTGTGAACACAGCCTGTGGGTTGTTGCCCATCCTACCCCTACTCAGAGTTGACCCATTGAAGTTAATGGGAATGACTAACTTAGATAATCATTTGTTTCAGTGGATCTACTTTGAGTTGAACTTAGTGGCCAATATGCTGTATTTGGATGACTTTGTATGATTTTATGATTTTGCTTTTTAAACTTATGTGAATAAAGAGTAGTAGTAGTAATAAATGTGATTACTTCTAATTTCTAGTGTCTGTTGTCATAGGCACTTCAATTTGAATTGAAAAAGGAGGGATGCATCACTGTTTCAATGCACTCATTAAATTATAAAACAGGAAATCTGTTTAAAAGTTTCTATTTATCCCAGATGCATTCAAAAGGACCACAGTGCAGTTTTTAAAAAATGAAATAAACTGAAGGCAGTCATTTCCAAAAATGTAAGTGATATAGCTGCCAACTTACTTCTTCTTTCACGGCTCCTGTGTCTCCAGCACACAAGATTTCAACAGACAAAGCTTACCTTGGCATGGAGCTAAGGGACAGTGGAGAAATCCAGTTCAGACTGCATTTAAAGGTGAGCCTACCTGAATTGGTGCTTTCTAAAACAATACGGAGAGTCCTCAAAACTCACACTTCTATGAATTTTGCAATGCAGTTTGCAGGCCAAGTGGGGTGTACAAAAATGCATATACTTGGGGTGAAGTAAGCATAAAAATGCATGTGTTCATGAAAATAACATACAAAACATCATAATACTGGAGGAAATTGCCTTGCAAAATCTGCATATTAGTTAAATTGCATTTACACGCATGTATATATCCTGCCAACCTAGCAGTTCAAAAGCACGAAGTGCAAGTAGATAAATAGGTACCGCTCTAGCGGGAAGGTAAACGGCATTTCCGTGTGCTGCTCTGGTTCGCCAGAAGCGGCTTAGTCATGCTGGCCACATGACCCGGAAGCTGTACGTCGGCTCCCTCAGCCAATCAAGTGAGATGAGCGCCGCAACCCCAGAGTCAGTCACGACTGGACCTTATGGTCAGGGGTCCCCTTTATATATCAGAGGACATTTGCACTAAAATAAGGAGGGGTTTTCTTGAGAACCTTTGTTGTTGTTGTTGTTGTTGTTGTTGTTGTTGTTGTTGTTGTTGTTAATTGATGTGGAAATGTGAAGAACTGATAACTGGGAAAATTAGAGAAACTGAAATGGGCCGATTCATCTATCCCTATCTGGAGTGACTAGCTTTCCTGGTATGTGTTTGCCAAACTGCAGTTTAAAGCACAGGATCCAGGCTGATTCTAAAAAATGACAGTCCTGGGGTAGAACTTTTTGCTTCTGGATCCTGTTCAGGAAGATTGGAAGTGGGGGGGGGTCCACCACTGCTACCTACAGATGTGTTATAAATGTGCAAAGCTTTGCCTTCCCAGGATCTCAGGACAGTGTTTGGAATTCGGCCACATCACAAACAAGATTTTTTTTAAACGAGCTATTTATATAACGTACACAATCTGTAGCTTCAAAGGACTTTGGACTCTCAATTTTCTTTTTTTCCTTGAGGGTTAACTGCATGCTTTTGGGGAATGCGGGTAGTATGTGCCATCAAATAAGCGGGCACTGGCTTTGGTTATGGGGAGGGGAACAAGAAAGAGACTTTTACCTTAACTTTATACCATTTCTTTGACCCACACAGTACAGGAGGCGGCGGCAGAGGAGGGAAGAGAGAATCTGTTGCAATGCAACAGAAAGCCTGTTGTTTGGTAGTTAGATCCAGATGTGGAGAGTGTTCCCAAATACAATACAGACTCGGGAGGAGCAAGGGAGGGACATGAAACACATTCTCTGCTGCAACAACCCTTAGGTTTAGGAAAGTAGGAACACAGGAAACTGCCTTATAGTAAGTTGGACCATTGGTCCATGTAGTAGTAGTAGTAGTAGTAGTAATATACTTATACTCCACCCACCTGGCTGGGTTTCCCCAGCCACTCTGGGCAGCTCCCAACAGAATACTAAAAACACGATAAAACATCAAACATTAAAAACTTCCCTAAACAGGGCTGCCTTCAGGTGTCTCCTAAAAGTCAAATAGTCGTTTATTTCCTTGACATCTGATGGGAGGGCGTTCCACAGGGCGGGCATCACTACCAAGAAGGCCCTCTGCCTGGTTCCCTGTAGCTTCACTTCTCGCAGTGAGGAAACCGTCAGCAGGCCCTCAGAGCTGGACCTCAGTGTCCGGGCTGAACGATGGGGGTGAAGATGTTCCTTCAGGTATACTGGGCTGAGGCTCAGTATTGCCCACACTGGGAGTGTCTCTCCAGGGTTTCAAAGGCAGGACTCTTTCCAAGCTGTCCCTGGAGATGCTGGGGATTGAACTAGGAGCCTCCTTCATACAAAACACTGAGCTATGGCCGTTCAGATTCCTGCAGGCTGATTTGTGATATATGCAGATGACTCGGCCCCTAGAAGGATTAGAGTGGGCAAACTTATGGGGCCCTGCAAAAGTTCCCACCCCAGTATTCATTTATTGGGATATGGGAATCTGTTGAGCGATTGGTACATCTAGCTCAGTACTGTCTGCACAACTGGCAGGACCTCTCAGGGGCTTCTAGGCCTTACCTAGGGATGCCTGATATTCCTAATCTCTGTTCACAGTGTCTCATTATATATATAGCATCAGCTGGGTGTCTAGGGCTGATGGGGGTTGTAGCCCATAACATCTGGAGGGCAGAAGGTTGGCAAAGCCTGGAAATAAGAATGCTTGGCTTGATTTACGTTCTGCTTCCTTGCTTTTGCTGCATCATTTGTGGCCATACATGAGTTCCAAAAGGAGCTGAAAGCAATCTCTCTGGTGCGCTTGCTTCTTACGCATGTCTGAAACATCCCTGTGTGTCAAGGGTCTCATGCAGACTGGTCCCTCAGTATCTACTCAGAACAAGATCCCACATATCTCTCTGGTGGTCAAATGCCAGGGATGGGCAGGGCCAGAAACAAAAGTGGGTGGAGCAATAGATGCCAATTTAGACAATAGAGACTGCATGGTTGAGGAGAGGGTGTAGCCTGAGTAGAGTCCCAAGGGCCACATAGAAAGGTCCAGAGGTCCAGATTTGGCTCCCTAGTCCGGAGGTTCCCCGCCTTGCCTTCACCTCAGCTGAATCTCAAATGTGCTGTGTACTAAGCATCTGGTCTGCCGTCACTGAGCTGTGGGCCCCTGCCATTTTCCAGATGCAACTTCCTTCCTTTAATGAAAAATAAATTTGTAACAAAGGGTTCTTGCAGCTCTGATTGCTTCCCGCTGCTTTAACTGTATGTTCCTATCTCTTAAAACGCTTCCATGGAACATCCCCAAGCAGAAAAAAACAACAACTGGAGACTGTACGTCGTTCCTGCATTGACTTTGTGTGGGAAAAGTCGCCAAGAGGAATGAGATTGTTCCACGCCCAGTTAGTGATCAACGTGGCTTCACAGGAACACAGGAAGCTGCCATAAACTGGACAAGGGCATCAGTCCACCTAACTCTGTATTATCGACCCTGACTGGAAGCAGCTTTCCAGGGTTTTACAGATAATTTTTTTCCAGCACTACCTGGAGATGCCAGGAAATGAATCTGGAACCTCCTTCATGAAGAGCACGTGCTTTCAGCTGTTGCTACAGCTCTTTCCCAAAAGTATACTTTGGCCTTTGCAAGACAGGAGCAAAGGAATTTGCAATGGGTGTTTTGGGTCAGCCAAAGTTTTTTAAGAAACAGTCATTTGAATGAAAGTATTCTGTGAGCTAAAATCAGAACATTGCAAGATTCTTAAAAGACTCAAATCATAGGGGCGGTTGCACAAATTTGTATATGCCAATTCATGTGCAAAGATGCAAATTTATGCCCGTTTGCAGAGAGAAAACTGCCCTGTGTGTTTTTAAAGAGAATGGAAATGAGACAGTAGATCTGGAAGCCCAATGCAAAAGGCTCAGTTTGGACAACCCCCAGGACTAGAAAAGTTCTGAACCCAGTACTCCCTAGTCAGGTGTGAGCTGTCCCTTGCCTGAAACCCTGGAAAAATGCTGCCAGTCAGGAGGCGGTACTAAGGTAGATGGACCAATAGTTTGGTTTAACATGAGACAACCTCCTGTGTAGTATTGGATTCTAGGTGGGAAGCTGAGTGGCAACGTGGTGCACAGGAATGCCCTGGTTCTCACTGAACTCAGGAGGGGAAACAGTGAGGTAGATGGAGTACCACCCCTTGCAATTCCACCACCCAAGGTCACCCAGCAGCTGCATGTGGAGGAGCGGGGAAGCGAACCCAGTTCACCAGATTACAACTCTACCACTCTTAACCACTACACCACACTGGCTCAGTGGCCATCCAAGTTTGTGGCAGTCACTGCCGCTTGTGGGGGTAAGTTCCCCAGTTTATGCATTGCATGAAAGAGACATTTTTTCTCTGTCCCACATCTTCCAACATTCAGCCTCATCAAAAGCCCACAAGCTCTTACTATTCTCCATCCATTTTCTCCAAGCCATGTGTAGTTTTATAGACTCCTATCCCATCACCTGCTACTCACCTTATGAATGATACTGTAAATGTAACATTATAGTTTTGTTTTGTAGCGGGGAAATCCCACCGTATCTTTTTTCAAAAAAAGGGGGGGTGAAAGGGAGGCGGACTTTTGGCTGAAGTTTTGCAGGGATGGTCTTGATTAAGGGAAAAAGCCCCCGCTCCCTATAAATCAAGATGATCACAGGAAGCCTGAAACCCACGGTGGCGGCATGTGCGTGCAAGTGCTAAAGTTCGTTCAACTTTTTCTTTCTTTCCACTCCAGTTTTATTGCTTTCGCATTCGCTCTCCTGCTGGGGTGGGGAGCTGCACAGGCGCTCCTGCCCTTTCCAAGGCGGGGGAGGCAGGCAGGGGGCGCATGTCTCTTTAAGGCAGGTCCCACGACGGGTTGTTATGCTGGAGAGTGAAGGAAGTGACGGGGCGATTGAATGAAAAGGAGCAAAAAAAAAAAAAAAAAAAAAAGGAGGAGAGAGAGAGAAAGAGAAAGAGAGAGAAGTAAGGGGGAGCTTGAAAGGGGAGACAGAGGAAGGCGAGGCGAGGGCCGGCAGCAGGAACAACGGGAGCCGAGGCGAGGGCAGCAGCAGTCAGCATCCGAGCACCCCTGGCAGCCGGGCGGGGCGGAGCGCAGCCGCAAGAGGACTTTCCCAGGAGTAGACCTCCCTCGCCAGCAGCCCATGCGGTGTCCGGCGGAGGGACATCCAGGGGCTCGAGGGGGCGCCAGTGCAGGGGTGTTTTTTTCCCCGGCGAGGGGATAAGGAGACGGCAGGCAGTCAAGCCAGGAGCCTCCGCCAACTCCAGAAGGAAAGTTGCAAACTTTGGGAAAGTTTCTCTCCTTCTTCGCGGACGGGGCGGTGGAGCTGCGGAGAGCGTGATCGGGACTCCGGCCGGGAGGGGGGTCCTTCTTACAGGGTGTTTGGATCAGTCTCTCTTCCCTCGCCCTCAATACCCCCCACTTTCTGCTGGAGATGCTCTGCCAGGGAGGAGGAGGAGGAGGCTGGCTCCGTTTCTTCTTGACGGCGCTGCTCTGGCCCCAGCCTCTGCCCTGGGTGGCCGCTGCGTCGGGGGCCCCGTCGGAGCTGCGAGTCCGCGTCCGGCTCCCCGATGGGCAAGTGACGGAGGAGAGCCTACAGGCGGACAGCGGGGCGGACTGCGTCACCCTGGAGCTCCGCAAGGGCGACGGCACCCTCATCACCCTCACGGCCGACTTCAAACAGGTGCGGGGGCGCACGCGGGGGTCGTCAGGGGCACAGGAATTGTGGCTTGGGGGGGGCTTTCCCGCCAGGAAAATGTGATGGTCTTTCCTCTAAGGTAAGAGGATGAACGGGGGAACCAACTGGAAAGGATGGGGTTAATAGATACACACCCACACACCCAATATTCTAATAATAATAATTTATTATTTGTACCCCGCCCATCTGGCTGGGCTTCCCCAGCAACTCTGGGCGCTTCCAACAAAGATTAAAAATACATTAAAAGGTCACACATTAAAAACTTCCCTGGCTCATTGGTTAAACTTTTAATCTCCCCCTTCCTCCAATGAGCTGAGGGGAGCATCTATGGTGTGTGCCCCTCCCTCTATTTTATCTTCACAGCAGCCCTTGGAGGTAGGTCAGACTGAAAGAGTGCTAGATATCTGAAGGCCTGAGGGGGGGCGGAACTAATTCTAGTCCTCCCGATTTTATCCTGGTGGCCTTCACATCTCTGAGTGTCTTCTTGCCTATAGTGACTGTGGGAGATTCATAAGCTCTGCAAGGATTTGAAGTGGTGGCTCAGTGAACTCTAAGCCTGAGTTTCTACCCACTAGGCTGAGTTGGACTGAGAGCTTTCAGAGGTGAGTGGGAGGTTGTAACCTCCAGGGTAAAGTGCAAGACAAGGGAAAGGAGCCAATCCATTTGGTCGGAAGGTAGTGGGATTGACTTTATATGTGTCTAGAGGGGCCTTTGGCCTCATCCAGGAGGACTCTTCTTACCTTATGTCTTATTTCTGAGAAACAGTGTATAGGGTTTCAGCTTGGAGATTGCTTCAAAGACAGCATCTGCATCTTTGATTTCCCAACCAATGCCAGAGATGCAACGATCACATCTGCTCACATCCTTACAGTGTTCTGGGAGTTTTTTTACGGAGTTGGCTCCCAGACATCAAAGGCTAGTTCATTCATTGCACCCGCACGCAAAAGCCACACGCATCACCAAATCCCTCTCCGCCCCCCACCCCCCGTGATTTAGCTCACTCTCCCTGCATAAAGAGGGTGGGGACCAGGATTGTAGGAATTGGCCTGACTAGCTTGAGGATATATCTAATATTAAACATAAGTGCCTAACTGGATCAGGGCAGTGGCCCACCTAGTCCAACATCTGGTTCCCACAGTGACCAATCAGATGCATCATGCAGGACCCAAACACAAGAGAATTCTCCCCTCCTGTGGTTTCCAGCAACTGGTATTCAGAAGCGTTACTGCCTCTGACTGTGAAGGTAGAGCAGAGCCATCACAGCTAGTAACCACTGAAAGCCTTATCTTCTATGAATCTGTCCAATCCTCTTTTAAAGCCATCTAAGTTGGTGGCTATCACTGCCCACTGCAGAAGTGAGTTCCATAGTTTAACTATGTATGGCAAGGTCCTCCCCCCCCCCCCCCGTCGTGAATCTTCCAACATTCAGCTTCATTGAATTTCAATGAGACAGAAATTAACAGCTATATGACTTTTAGAAGACATCTGAGGGCAGCCCTGTACAGAGAAGTTTGATGTCTTACTGGGTTTTTACAATTTGTTGGAAGCCACCCAGAGTGGCTGGGGCAACCCAGTCAGATGGGTGGAGTACAAATAAAATAATAATAGTAATAGTGTTAGGAGAAAGACAGAAAAACTTTTCTCTTTCTCCAGTCTCCATCTCATGCATAACTGTATACACTTGCACGCTGTCACCCTTACTAGCTGTTTCTCTAAACTAACAAGTCCCAAATGGTGCAAGCCTTTATTGCAGATTTCCTCGAGGCATTTGGTTGGCTGTTAGAAACAGATCTTCAGACTGGAAAGACCCTTGGTCTGACCCAGCAAAGTTCTCCTTATGCTCACTGAACTGCAGTGGTAAGGAATCAAGAGATAGCATGCACATGTTTGAACAGAGACTGCATCTTATGGCTTCCATGTGCAACAGGAGCTTTCCAACCCACAGCAGCTGCTTGAAAATGAAGATCAGTCCTGATTGAAAGGCTCCCGCAATGGAGTAATCGCTGTGCGGTCAGTGACACAGCCCCAAACAACTGGCTTGCTTGTGCTCTGGGTGTGGGAGGCGAGGAGCATCTCTCTGTGCCCCAGCCATTGTCCTTTCCTTATTAAGCAGAGGCGTCTGTAGATCCCTGCCTCCCTCCACCCCACCCCTGAACGGTCCACTGTCTGGAATATGGTCTCTGGTGTATTTTGCAGTGGCCTACATTACGCAGTGGAATGGAGCAGATCAAAGAGACTCCAGCCTGGGAACTCTGGTCACTGATATCTTCTCATGGAGGGAGAAGCTTGCAGGATGAGTGGGAGGGTGGGAGTGTTTATAGAGGATCTTTAACTGTGATTTCTGGCATTAGGTTTTCAGAAAGAGAGGGGAGTGATCCCATGCAGGCCTCCACAAACTGATGCACCATGCAAAAGCCTCTTTTTTGCCTTGTTTGTGGAGGGAGAAATCTCAGATGGGTAGGGTACAAGAAATAAACGTTGTTGTTTGTTGTTGTTATGATGGTTCTGTGCTTTGGAGCAGGCCGACTCTATTGCCTACAAAGTCCAGTAGGCTCTAGAGAACAGCCTCCAAGTTTTCCTGGCAGGGGAGAGTTGGGGGGAACCCAAATTAGGACCAGCAAGTAAACCAAAGCAAGCTGTGGGAGGCTCCCCTCTCCTCCACCACCACACTGTAATCCCAGGTCCGGGTCCTAACTAGATCTGTGTCAGCTTAACACAAGGGATGAGGAATTCACAGGCTGTTGTTCGACTCCAACTCACATCATCCCTGACCCATAGCTGTGCTGGCTGGGGCAGATGGCAGCTGGAGATCCAGAGAGTCACAGAGTCCCCCATCCCTGCCTTAAACAAAACAAGTTAAGAACCAGATATGGAATCTGGAATTGGAGAGGTAGCTGGGAAGGTGCAGTGAGGGAATGAGTCTCTGCCTGGATGGAATATGCATTCAAGGACCTTGCCCCATGTTGTAAAATGGGCATCCCCATCCAGGTGCCTTTTGGACTTCAGACCCCATCATCATCAGCCTGAATAGCTCAGTTGGTTAGAGCATGGTGCTGATAAAGCCAAGGTTGCAAGTTTGATCCCTGAATGGGACAGCTGCATATTCCTGCATTGAAGGCTTGGACTAGATGATCCTCATGGTCCCTTACAATTCTATGATTCCTGCCCATGGGTCATGCAGACAGAGGCTGGTGGGAATTATAGTTCAAAATATGGAGGGTAACTGGGTGGCAAAGACTGTTTTAGACAGTCCTGCTCTAAGAGCAAGGCAGACCAGCTCTGACTCTGTTGTTGTTGTTGTTGTTGCAGCCTTCTAAGTTTCTATCTCTCACATTCAGCTTTTCTACAGCTTTTCTAGCTAGAATTGTTGAGGACTGAACCTGTGACCTTTCCCATGCAACACACATGCTCTACCGCTGAGCTGTGCCCTTCTCTAATTGTGTTTAACCTCCTTTTACAAGCATCCTGGGGCTGTGGGTTCCACTGGTTAACAGTGCATTGTGTGAAAGCAATGTCTTTTCAACACCCTGAATCTCCTGCTGTAGCTCTCGCCAAGACACGGTCCTTCACAAAATTAGCCTCTTTAGGTGCCATTGGTCCATTGAGCTTAGTACTGTCTAAACTGACTGAAAGTGGATCTTCAGGGTTTTCAGTCTGAAGATGCTGGGAAGTGAACCTGTGACCTCTGTGCAAACCATGTGCTCTGCCGCAAAAATAAAGCCCTTCTCTGCAAGAGGAAGGTCTGATAAACACAGGGGTGGTAGTTGGAAAGAATGGAAGAATGTGCCTGATTATCGTGTTCTGCTACTTTCTTGTCCTTCCCTGTTGAGGTTCAGTAGGTCCTGCCTTACTGGTTGCAGGATGTCAGCTGAAGTGGTACTGGATGCTGAATTTAACTTCTCCCAAATCTCAGTTTTCATTTTGTGTTCAAAAAAAGGATGTTCCTAGCCCTTATGACTGTGAATATGCTAGAAAATATGCTGGTAGTGCTTGGTGAATTCAGAAGCCAGAATTCACCAAGCACTGTTGGTTAATTCACCCCTGGGGATTTATTAATAACCTTTAGCACTGTCAAAAATAGCCTAGAATAATGCACATGGTTTTTTCCTTGTTCTGTCATCACAAGAACCCTGCAGATTGTTTAAGTTAAGATTCACCAAAGGTTTCTTGGCCAGCTTAATGATTGAGTGAGATTTGAACCTGGGTCTCACTGGGCAGCCTCGTCTGACACTGTTACTGCAGTACACTGGCTATCCTGGGTCTGGTCTTGCTCTTCCCTATGACTAGCAAAAGAAGAATTACACAATGGGGTAATAAAGAAAAGTCTATTTATGGGAAAGTAGAGCAATTGGGCACATATCTTTAATTTGCATAGAATGAGACAGGCTGGGGAATTTAGCTTTTGATGTCACAAAGTTCAGATTACCAATGTGCAGTGTACCTATGTCATGATGAAAGATCTTTGAGTAAACTGTGGTCCCTTATAGCTTGTCTGCAAGTCCCTCAAATTGTCTGCTGCAAGATAAGTAATAATGGAAAGCCCCAAAGCACCCTCACACAGAGAGGGTTACCTGCTGTGTTCCTGCCATAATTCTTTCCCATCTCTGATATGGCCAGGGTGTTCTGGCCAACTTCTGGTGGGACCTCCTCCCCCACCCACCCCCATTCTTTGTTTGGATTCTTTCAAAGAATGCAGCACCAAGTAGAAATGGCTGTTAACCAGCAAGGCCCTTCAGCTGCCCTTAAGCAAAGGGGTGTGCTGAGAATTAATTAGCACAGGTCAATTATGCCTCGACCATTAGAAGATCTTTAACATGCTGCCTTGCTCTATAACTTTGCATACATGGGTGGACCATGCAGATCTTATTAAAAACAAGTACAGTAGTACCTCGGGTTACATACGCTTCAGGTTACATAGGCTTCAGGTTACAGACTCCGCTAACCCAGAAATATTACCTCAGGTTAAGAACTTTGCTTCAGGATGAGAACAGAAATCATGCTCCAGCGGTGCAGCGGCAGTTGGAGGCCCCATTAGCTAAAGTGGTGCTTCAGGTTAAGAACAGTTTCAGGCTAAGAACGGACCTCCGGAACGAATTAAGTACTTAACCCGAGGTACCACTGTAAATGAGTGAGAGATGTGGCTCCTCTGCTTCATTGCAACTCATTGTGTGTATTGTAGATGCAAGCCCCTTGGTGGTGGTGGAGATATATATGGAAATTGTAAAGCCCTTGGGTCTTAGACCTGGCCATTTATTCTTTCTAAAGCACCGTGCACATGAATAGTACACTGTTATTGGTGGTGGTGGTTACAAATGAGGCCTACCACAAAATGTTGCAGCGTCGAGTGCTGCTTTCCCCCGTCCTGTTCTCATTTCTCTCCCTAGCAGCACCACTTTTCAGCAGTCAGCTAGCCATCGGTGGCCAATGAGCATGCTCAGCCCTCATTGGTCAGCTCCTCCTTTTAAGATTTCGCTTCTAGTTTTGCAAACTTTGGGATTCCGGTTCCTTGGGATTCCAGTTTCTTGGCTATCTAAGGCTCAGCATTTGGAGAATGGGGTCACTATTGGAATATACGCAATGGGGACTTCACAGAGATAATTTAGTTGTTCTTGTAAGCCCTGGCAATGCATCCAAAAAGACTCTTGTCTTTTATCTTGGGAAAGCAGATCCTTTCCTTGCACTGTATTGGAATCTGCCTTTTGAAGCTTCCTCTGGTTTCACGAGCGATTTGCTAGAAAACCTTGGCATCTTGCTGTTTACACCTCCAGCCTCACTGAGCATATGGAGCTCATTATATGGTTCTCTGGGCCCCCACATTTATCAAGGGTTACAATCTGCGAGCCATGGATCTCTGACCTTTATTCCTTTATCTCCCTGCATTCCCAGATGTGAATGAGATCCCAATGCTCCGGCCAAAATAGATGTAATGCAGGAAACCCATGACGATGTTGTTCCACAGGGGCCATTTTTGAAAATTAATAGAAATCATAGGGACTGGGACTATGGCACAGAAGGAGGAAGGTGTTATACTTTATCTTCTCCCATTCTAAGCTGTTTTGTGCCTGATGGGGAGACAACCTACAGGTCACGTACAGTCAGGAGTGCCAGCTTGGCCCTGTGTCCGTGGGCGCCCAAGGCTGCGGGGGCCTGGCTCCTTCACAGGGAATTTTGTGGGTACTCAGGCATGCAGGGCCCCAGAGAGCTGGCACCTATGCATACAGTAGAAACATAGGATGCTGCCTTATACTGAGAAATACTCATGGTCCATTCAGCCCAGTACGGTCTACACTGACTGGCAGCAGCACTGCAGGGTTTCAGAGCAGGGTTCTCTCCCAGCCCTGCTTGGAGCTGCTGGGTATTGAACCTGGACCTTCTGCATGCAAAGCAGGTGCTCTAACCGCTGAGCTGCGGCCCTTGTATTTAAGATCAAAATATATAGGTGTTTGACAATACTAAGATACCTCTAAACATTCTTCTGTGGGGAAATGACAAAAAGAAATATTTTTGGAGTGGGGTGAGTTTAATGAGGAAAACAAATTGCATGGGGAAAGCGTTAAATGGCTTTCACATCAGTTTGACCTGGTTCGTTCTTCCTACCAGTGACTTCTATTCTTTTCTCTTTTTTTATCTGAGCAGAGATTCTTATTGCAAATCTCTTGCACCACATCTCATTTGGCTCTCAGGCTGGGCAGACACCCCCCCCCAAGTGTCCCTATTTTCCAGGGACTGTCCCAGATTTACAGAAGCTAACATGGTTTTTTATTTGATCCTGGAATGTCCCACTTTTCCTTAAAGGTAAAGGGACCCCTGACCATTAGGTCCAGTCATGGCCGACTCTGGGGTTGCGGCGCTCATCTCGCTTTATTGGCCGAGGGAGCCAGCGTACAGCTTCCAGGACATGTGACCAGCATGACTAAGCTGCTTCTGGCAAACCAGAGCAATGCACAGAAACACCGTTTACCTTCCCGCCGGAGCGGTACCTATTATCTACTTGCACTTTGACGTGCTTTCCAACTGCTAGGTTGGCAGGAGCAGGGACCGAGCAACGGGAGCTCACCCCATCGCGGGGATTTGAACAGCCAACCTTCTGATTGGCAAGTCTTAGGCTCTGTGTTTTAACCCACAGTGCCACCCACCACCCACCACCTGCGTCCCAATTTTCCTTAGGATGTCCCTATTTTCATCAGAGAATTGTTGGAGGCTATGCAGTGGCAAAGGACTTTACATCCTCCAGAGCACTGTTGCTGCTTTGTATACTGAGTGGCCTGTAGGGAGGACAGGATCTAGGTCTCCACCCTGTCGATGAACCCCTTCTTTTAGACGCTGAATTTAAGAGCGGCCCTACTGAATCAGACCAATGGCCTGTCAAGTCCAGCATCCTATTCTCACAGCAGCCAACCAGAGGGTTGTAGGAAACCCTCAAGGAAGACCAGAGGACAAGAGCACTCTCTCCTCCTGTGGCTTTTAGCAACTGATATTCAGAAGAATTACTGCGTCCAACCAAGGAGACAGAGCAAAGTCATTATGGCTAGTAGACTTTTTCTCCTCCATGAATTTGTCCAGCCCAGGTTGGGGGCTATCGCTGCTTCCTGTGGGACCAATGCCCTAGTTTAACTATGTGTTGCTTGAATAAGTTCTTTCTTTTATCTGCCCTGAATTTTCCAACATTCAGCTTTATTGCACGTCCATGACTTCTAGTCTTACAAGAGACAAAGAAAAACTTCTCTCTCACACTCTCTCTTTTATTAATTTTTATGTTTTACAATTTGAAATACTCCTTTTACATCCTTAATGACTTCCCTTCTTTTCTTTCCATGGTTCATTTTACATATCATAAATCCCTGCATATTTTACAGAAACTATACCATTCAGTATTTCATTACTGCATCCATCAAAACGTGTTTACACTGTTGAACTTATATTAATGCTGCCAGTGTTTTCAGCTGTACACAATCATTTCCCATATATTCAATAAACATTTTCCAATCTTCTTTAAACGTATATTCTTCTTGTTCTCTTGTTCTGTATGTTATGTTTGCGAGTTGTGCATATTCTGTCAACTCAAGTTGCCATTCTTCTTTAGTTGGGACCTCGCTTGTTTTCCATTTCTGGGACTAACAAAACATAGGCCACAGTAGTAGCATACATAGAAAAACTTTCCTCTATTCACTTCCTCCATGTCATGCATGGGGGGGGACTTTGATCATGTCACCACTTATTCGCCTTTTAACTTTGACTCTCTCAGGGATTCTCCTATATTAGATCCAGCCCTTGCCTTTGTGTCAACCTTGCACAAAGATCTGTTCTTAGGCAGAGACAAGGAAAGGGAGGGTCCTTCTGGAAGAAAACCATGTGAGTTCTAGCATTCCCAGATGTTTGTTCTTTCCATTACCCGCCCTTCCATACACAAAGAAATGCTATTGAATTCCACAGCACTGGTGTGGTTGCTCCAGAATCCTCTCTGGATTTGCTTAGCTCAGTGATGGCCAAACTTGGGCCTCCAGCTGTTTTGGGACTACAGTTCCCATCATCCCTGACCACTGGTCCTGTTAGCTAGGGATGATGGGAGTTGTAGTCCCAAAACAGCTGGGGGGCCAAGTTTGGCCATCACTGGTTAGCTGAACATGAGTGCCACTGACAGATGCTGGAAATGGGTGGAGGAAGCTGCTGAAGGATGTAGGATGTAGCTCCCACAAGTTCCCACCAACCTAGGTTAGGATTAGACAAATTCATGGAGGAGAAGGCTATCTCTCTACCAGTTATGCTCTGCCTGCCCGGTTGGAAGTTAGTGATGCTTCTGAATGCCAGTTCCTGGAAACCACAGGAGGAGAGAGGTCTCTTGTGCTTGGGTCCTGCTTGCAGAATTCCCATTGGTGCATCTCATTGGGAATAGGATGCTGGACTAAATGGGCCATTGTTCTAATCCATCAGGTTCTTCTCACGTTCTTGGAGAGGTTTTCTGCAAGGGTACCTGAGGGTGGGCATCTGCAGGAAGAAGTTCTAGCTTCGGGGAATACTCATTCTGACCCAGGTGGAGAACCCCTTTATCTTCCTGAGGCCTTCATTCTCTTCTGGGCAACAGTTTGAGGGCCGCATGTCCTCCATCCATCCAGGCAGGCAGAAGATGTGATTGGAGTTCAAGGACATATGCCAGCTAGGCAGAAATACTTGGGGAGCAAAGCAGTACCAGCAACGGGCTGTGACCTAGGGAAAGGGCCAGATGGAGCAGCCTCAGGGGCCAGAGATCCCCCACTTCCTGGTATATGCCACCTTAATGGTTGAGCTGCTCATTCTTCTAAAGTTCTACTGGTTGGCCACTGGAGTCCCCTGAGCTGAATCTGGCCCATGGCAGGTTTCCAGTTGGCTTTGGAGTTGTTGCCTGCTGTTTTTTTCTTGGGGTGCAGCCTGGATAAAGCTTCCTCTGTATTCTAAAGGTGGTATCTCTGCTTTTTCCAGCTTTGCATAGCAGCCTAGCCCAGTCAGCGTAAAGCTCATGCCGATTTCAAAACTGTACTTTGCCCCTTTTATAGCAGCAGAGAAGAGCACTTCAGTCTGGCTGCGTACTATTTGAGGAATTGAAAGTGAAAGAATTGCTGCAATCTTTGTGGCTTCCCGCTACTCTTGACCTCAGCTTGCGTTATCTTGGCTTGAAACTCTTCATTCATCCCAGAGGAAGGAACGAGATGCCATCTAAGTGCTGGGAAGTGGGGGAGGGTCTGCAGCTCAAGCAGTGTTTAAAATTCCTAGGTGCTGGGTTAGATTCCAAGGAACCTTTGTGGTGTAAAATTGCTGCGCCCTGGCCTGAGATCAATTCTTGCCATTTGTATAGCAGTTCAGGGTCTTCACCAGGTGTGTGGAGGTTGCACATACTGGTAATCCTTGCAACAGTCCTATAAAGTACAGGTGAACTGAATCCTTTTCGGCTTGAGGGCCACATAACCTTCTGGGTGACCTTCCAAATGTGCACATGCACCTACTCTCTCTCTCTCTCTCACACACACACACTCCTCTCGAATCTCTATCCAGGCAAAAAAAAGAGGCGTTATTGGAGTTCCAGTGCACATTCCAGGCAGACAGAACCACTCAAGGAGAATGTGAAGCAGGGCTGGTGAGGTTGTGTGGCCTTAGGAGAGAGAGGGTATAGCCTAGGAGAGTGCACGATCTAGGGACAGTCTCTGTATGTTGCAAGTAAGGGCCTCCAGCAGAGGGCATCTTATCAGGAGGTCCCATTCTGCATATTGGTAATTTAGGAACTGAATTCCCTCCCGTTATACCCACCAACATTTCTCCAATGAGAATAGGGACATCCTATTTAATAATAATAATAATAATAATAATAATAATATTCTATTATTTCTACCCTGCCCAACTGACTGGGTTGCCCCAGCCACTCTGGGTGACTTCCAACATATATAAACACAAAATTAAACATTAAACATTTTTTAAAAAAACCTTCCCTATACAGGGCTGCCTTCAGATGTCTTCTAAAAGTTGTATAGTTACTTGTCGTCTTGACTCGGGGGTTGCATAACACCAACATTTCTCTGATGAAAATAGGGACATGCTAAGGAAAAGCGGGACGTTCCGAGATTGAATCAGAAACTGGGACGGCTTCTGTAAATCCAGGACTGTACCTGGAAAATAGAGGCACTTGGAGGGCCTGTCACTGGCAGCCACTGTCTCTCCCCTCCTTTTCTGGTGCCTACTGGAGATCATCCTCTTCCAAAAAGCCTTTTAAGTAGAGATCTTTCCCAGTCTGCATCTGCATGGGGATTGTTTTAAAGGTATTTTATTGTTTTGTTGCTTGCTGATGACACACCGGGCTACTTAAGAAAGGTGGGTTATGAATCATAATAATAATCATCATAAAGCCTGCATGGTACTTTAAGGTAGCGATGGAAATCCTGTGGCCCTCTAGATGTTGATGGACTATAACTAACACCCATAATCTCTGGAAGGTTATGTATTTATTATTTTTATTCCATTAAATGTATGCACTCTCCTTGGTGGTTAAAAAAACCAAAACTCTCCTAGAGGTTTATCATGAAAAACACACCAATTAAATTATTGGTAAAAACACTAAAAAAAAAAAAAAAACCAAAACCCAACCATTTTAAAGCATTAATTTTTTTAAAAAAAAATTGGCATTAAAGTAAAAAACAAACAAACCACCGATTAAAACATACATCAACATTCTATGTATCTTTGTAAGGTAAAGGTAAAGGGATACCTGACCATTAGGTCCAGTCGTGGCTGACTCTGGGGTTGCAGTGCTCATCTCGCTTTACTGGCTGAGGGAGCCGGCGTACAGCTTCCAGGTCATGTGGCCAGCATGACTAAGCCGCTTCTGGCGAACCAGAGCAGCACATGGAAATGCCGTTTACCTTCCCACCAGAGCGGTACCTATTTATCTACTTGCGCTTGATGTGCTTTCAAACTGCTAGGTTGGCAGGAGCAGGGACCGAGCAATGGGAGCTCACCCCATCGCGGGGATTCAAACCACTGACCTTCTGATCAGCAAGTCCTAGGCTCTGTGGTTTAAGCCACAGCGCCACCCGTATTCCTTGTATCTTTGTAGGCTTGCCTAAAAAAAATGTTTTTAGCATGTGCCGTAAAGTGTACAGTGAAGATTCCTGTGTGATGTCAATAGGCAGGGAGTTCCAAAGTTTCTAACAACTGTGGAATGGGCGTTATGTGAATGGGGCAGATGGGAACCCAACAACATCTTGGACCCAGGTTCCCCATCTCTGCCTTAAAGCTTGCCTGCTTCTGTGTGAACCTGTTCATTTGCTGAGGTCCTCTTTGCACCATTGCTCTCTGAGAGGGAAAAGAGGCAATTTGGGATGCACAGCGAGGCGGTCCGGAAGTTTCAAGGCAGGTTCTCAGCAGGAATAAACCTGGCGACGTTAAACATTAGCAAATTTATCACACGGTTATTAAAGTATATATTTCCTGCAGGCTGTGTTTGAGGGCAGGCAGGGGCAGAGTTTGGCAGAATATTGCTTTTGTTATCCTGTGGAGCAGCCGTGCAATCGACACAGGGTTAAGCACATCTTTTAAAGTGTGTGGGGTGGGAGCTTTCCGTATGGAACATTTTGAGTTCAAATAAACTTGAAACCTGAAAATGGTGTTGTTGCTTCAAGAAGCCTGTCCCCTAAGGCAGGGGTCATATCCTGATCCTCCAATGGCTGTGAATTTCTTGGTGTCCTTGTGTCTGAACCCTGTTATCTCCAATTTGGGCGTGTGTGAGAGAAAAATTATATCAGATAGGACCTTGTTTACATCTAATGTTAAGCCCAGACCATGAATGAGCAAGCATGCAAGACTTTGGAGATAGGATCTCAAGCCATTTTTCCCCACCTGGGTCATTTTTATGCTGTGCTAAGCCATGGTGTGGCTTTGGTGTGTATTGTCCAAAACCTGTTCCATGGTTTAGCACTCCCAGATCACAGAATCATAGTGTTCAAAGGGCCTCCAAAGATCATTTAGTTCAACCTCTGCAATTCAGGAATCACAGCTAAAAAAATCCCTGATAGATGGCCATCCAACATCTGTTTAAAACTTCCAGTGAAGAAGAGCCCACTGCCTTCTGAGGTAATCTTCAACCACTGTTGAACAGCTCTTGACATCAGGAAGTTCCTCCTAATATTTAGTCAGAATCTGCTCTCTCACAATTTGAATCTGTTGATTTTGGTCCTACCCTCTGGAGCAGGAGAAAACAAACTTGCTCTGTCTTCCATGTGACAGGCTTTCAAATATTTCAAGGAACAGGCTAGGCATACCCAACTCCCTCAACTGTTCCTCATAAGGCTTGGTTTCCAGACAGTTGATTATCTGGTCACCCACCTCTGCACACATTCCAGCTTGTCAATATCCTTCTTAAACTGTGGTGCCCGGAACTATACACAGTACTCAAGGTGTGGTCTGACCAAGGCAGAATAAAGTGGGACTATTACTTCCCTTGATTGGACACTATGCTTCTTTTGATGGAGCCTAGAATAGCCTTAGCCTTCCCCCCTCCCTGCTGTATCACACTGTTGACTCGTGTTAAGTTTGTGATCTACTAAGACCCTCTAGATCCCTTTTAGTGAACTGTTGTCAAGCCAGGTGATCCCCCATCCTATATCTGTGCATCTGGTTCTTCCTGCCTATGTTTAGAATCTTACATTTGTCCTTACTGAAATTCTTTTTGTTAGTTTTGGCCCAGTTCTCCCATCTGTTAAATTCCTTTTGAATCCTGATTCTAGCTTCTGAGGTATTAGCTACTCCTCCAAGTTTGGTATCATCTGCAAATTTGTTGAGCATCGTTTCTAGTCTTTCATCCAAGTCATTTATAAAGACATTGAACAACACTAGGCCTAGGCCAGAACCCTGCAGCATTCCACTTGTCACTTTTTCCCCAGGGTGAAGTTTTATTGGGTTAGGACAGTTAGGGTTGCCATATGCCCTCTTTTTCCAGGACATGTTCTCTTTTTCATGGGTTGTCATAACGATCCACAGTTAAAAGCAGAAGTCGGAAAATGTGTCTTCTTTTCTGCTCTTCAAAATATGGCAACCCTAACAGTCACAAATCCGTCTAACGGCAACAAATGTATTAATTTTTATTTGTTGTTTCATAAAATTTATACACTGCTTGGTTGTTAAAAACAAACAAACAAACCCACAAAGCGTTTTCCAAAAGATAAAACATTAAAATCAAGAAAAATTCACAACCATACTTTAAAACATACAAAAGTTAAAATACTAAAACAGATTAAAATCACCTCCACTTTCTAAGCATCTGAGTAGGCTTGTCTAAACAGGAATGTTTTTAGCAGGTGCAGAAAAGAGTTCAGTGAAGTTGCCTGCTGGAGCTCAATAGGCAGGGAGTTCCAATGTTTTAGGCACTCATTTAGTAGGTTTGGCTATGGCTACATTTCGTGGCTTGCCTGGGAGAGCTAAACCATTAGCCTGCGTTCACAGAACCTGTAAATTATAGGCAGAGCCTCTGCTTTTCGTGCAGAAGTCTCCAGGTTCAATCCCAGGTGGAGTTGGAAGAGATCCCTGCCTGAAACCCTGGAGAGCTGCTGCCAGACAGTGTTGACAGCACTGAGCCAGGTGAATCAACGATCTGCCTCGGTATAACACACCTTCCTGCGTTCTGGCTGCTCTCCTCCATTTCATATCTTGCTCCTTTCACCTTGGTTCTCCCCCCCAAAACACACACACACACACCCCAAGCCTGACTTCTACACTCCAAAGCCTCTCTAGCCCCCCCCAACCTTTCTGCTAAGTTTTACAGCCCGAAAAAGAAGCAGGCGCATCCTAAACTGCATGCCGCCCTGATTAGCATACATTCCTGATTTGCACACACAGTTCTGGATAGCAGAAAGTGGAGTACTAGGCTGTTGAACTGCGAGGGCTTTTTAAAAGTGTTCGTGTTACTTAACTACTGGAACTACAAATGTGAAAATGGTGCTCCTTTCGGATAGAACTATGGACCTGCCTTTGCTTTCGGTGTAACGTAATTCGCCACTAAATCCGGAAACATTAGATGGTTAGCTTCTCCAACCCACGCTGCGCTGCTTTTATCACTACTGCCCCTGAATCACTTTCCAAAGAAGGATTTCCCAACATTCTCCCTTCGGGAGTCATACTGCGCGAAGAGTCCTTGAGTCCGGAACATCTGTGGGGGTGCTGATGTCACGCTGGAACTTGTTGTCTTTGCTGGGAAAGCTTCACGGAAATCCTTGGCCGCGAACCCTGTCCTCCTTTTGCTTGGCCAAGAACTGACTCAGCGCTGAATCACCTGGCGTGTGTTTTTTCTGCAGGAAGGGAGTCGGGAAAGGGACCTCCCTCATTTTGAGGAGAAACCTTTTTTTTTTTTTAAAAAAAAAGGAGTCTTCTGGCACCTTAGCAAATCTTTTGTGGACTGGAGTCCATTTCATCAGCTGCATAACTTTCATCCCAAATCGGCAGTTTGCAGTGCAATCTTAACTAAGTCTACTCGGAAGATGATAGATGATAGATAGATAGATAGATAGATAGATAGATAGATAGATAGATAGATAGACTATTCGCATTAGCCAACAACCATGGCAACATAAAACAAGCAATATATACAAATAAAAGGGCAGCAATGGGTAAAAAGGGCGATCAAATGACTAAGATTACTGTTCAGATAGTGGCCCTTAATCTCATTGCACCCTTGATAAACCTAGCAACCTTTGCTGTTGTCTGTCTACTCGGAAGTAAGTCGGGTGGTATTCAGTGGGGCTTACTCCCAGGAAAGTGGGGTTAGGATTGCAGCTTTGTAATTTGTCTGGGGATGTCAACACATCATATATTTAAAGCATCCTCCCCTCTAAAAAAAGAAAAGAAAAAAGAATTCTGGGAACTTGGGGGGGGCGGTGTTATCATGGACTTGTAGGCAGGAGTCGATTTGTACAATCTCCCGTTTAAATGCAATCAAAATCTAATTGGCTGCAGCAGAAGTTGGGGGAAGAAGTAGCCAGAAGCGAAGTCTGTGGCTGGAGCCCAGAGCTGCAAGGAGAAAGGAAGCCTCATACAGTGGTACCTCGGGTTACTTACGCTTCAGGTTACATACACTTCAGGTTACAGACTCCGCTAACCCAGAAATAGTGCTTCAGGTTAAGAACTTTGCTTCAGGATGAGAACAGAAATTGTGCTCCGGCGGCGTGGCAGCAGCAAGAGGCCCCATTATCTAAAGTGGTGCTTCAGGTTAAGAACAGTTTCAGGTTAAGAACAGACCTCCGGAACGAATTAAGTACTTAAACCGAGGTACCACTGTACTAGTATGGGAATGTTTGGGCGTAAAAAGCAACACCAGCCCTGTCCTCCCTGAGTCTGGGCCAAGTGAGCCATCAGAGCATGGTCTGTTTAGATAAAGATCTGGCTTTGGGGTTTAACACGCCAGCTTGGAATAATAAAAAGGAAGCTGTTCTGATTTAGCTGATGGGGCGTTTTGAGAGGGAGGCGAGAATAGGGGTGCCTGAGTTGCACAGAGGCCTCCTAGCAGAAGTGAGGAGTCACAGGGAGTCACGGGGAAGAGCATGCAGGAGATGGGGGCGCTGGGTGAAAGCAGAAGGGCAGAGAGTGCCAGTGCTTTTTTTCCTGCAACTGACACCCTGAAATCAGCTCATCTGGGAGCAGGGTTTGTGTGCCCAAGTGCTTCTGTGCACCTGAAATCCCATCTCTTCCTGTTTGCCATGCAATCGCTTCTTCCATGGAAGAGTTGAATGACACTGGGGGGTGGGGTGGAAAAAGCTTTCCACAGATCAGACGCGGTGACAAATCTGACACAGGGCCAGTTTGTTTGTTTTTGGCTTTCCTGCCTAGCCCTTCCACCAAAGAGCTGGTGGCAGTCTGCATGTTCACCTTTATCTGCACAACAGCCCTGTGAGGTGGACCATTTGCTCTCTTTCAGCCTCGCCTGTAATTGAACAGGGATCTGAATGCAAGCCCAGCTCTCCAACCAGAAGACAGGGAACCTGCAGCCCTTCAGAGGCTGCTGGGCTCACAACTCATGAGTCCCAGCCAGCAAAGCCAGTCATCGGGGTGATGGGGTCCAATGATGTCAGGAGGGCCACAGGTTTGCCATCACTAGCCCACAGAGGCTGTCAGAGGCTCTCCAGCATTTCAGGCAAAGAAAGGTCTTTTGCATTTGCGTTTATATTCCCCTTTTTTCCCTCCAAGCAGCTCATGGTGGAGAACATGGTTCTCCCACTCCTTGTTTAATCCTCACAACAACGCTGTGAGGTAGGTCAGGCAGCGCTTGGACAAAGGTCACCCAGTCAGCTTCATGGCTGAATGGGGATTTGAACCCTGGCCTCGCAGATCCTAGTCCCGTCACTCTAACCACTATACCACACTGGCTTTGCAGCCCCACCTGGAGATTCCAGGGACTCAGGAAGAATCATAGCACCATAGAGTTGGAAGGGACCCTGACGATCATCTTGTCCAACCCCCTGCAATGCAGGAATATGCAACTGTTCCATACGAGGATCAAACCTGCAACCTTGGCGAGACTAGCTTCTGGATAATAATAATAATAATAATAATAATAATAATAATAATTTATTTGTACCCCGCCCATCTGGCTGGGTTTCCCCAGCCACTCTGGGCGGCTTCCATAGAAACCAAAAATACACTAAAATATCACACATTAAAAACTTCCCTGAACAGGGCTGCCTTAAGATGTCTTCTGAATGTCAGGTAGTTGTTTATCGCTTTGACATCTGATGGGAGGGCATTCCACAGGGCGGGCGTCACTACTGAGAAGGCCCTCTGCCTGGTTCCCTGTAGCCATAGGGCCATAAACCCATCTAATCCAGCATCCCACTCTAACAGTGGCTAGGCAAATCCCCCTTCTGGAACAGGATTCATTAATGTGTTATGGGGAATGCATCAACATGCTACCCGATGTGGTAGAGAGGGGTTTAGTTTCTCCTCTTTCCCTTTGCGGGTATCTTTCCCCTGGTTCTCCCCTTTTAACCCTTGTTAGCCGTCTCCTTTCTCCAAGCCTTCCTCTCCAGTTTAGTGAAGATGCCGTCTGCGACCCTCTCTGAGAGGCCTCCCGACTGCCCTTCCTTTCCACACCAGGCACAGGGTAGAGAGAGCGCTCACAGCCTATAAATCACCTGGCACACAGAGAGAGTAGATAAATATTTAGACTGGCTCAGCGGCGCTGCTGGGTCACCCGCTTGCTGGCGTGACGGGAACGAGAGTTCGCAAGGGCTGGAGAATGATTGGGACTTGCGAGAGAGTGAAGTAGCTGGCCGACGTGGGGCCCGGAGGGAGAACCACAGCTGAAAGCAAATAGGTTTGGGAGCCAAAGAGCCGGAATGTTGCCTGAGTGACTCCTCTCTTTCTGTCGCAAGGGGGGTTTCACATTAGGGAGTTTCAGAGGTCACCCCCTCCACCAGGGAAAGGCTTGTGGACAGTCAGCCCTGACCCCCTCCAGGTTACTCCATTTCATTCCTCCTCCTCCTCCCACTCCAAATATTCAGCCAGGATTCTGTGGCCACTGAGCATGCTGAGTCCTCACTGGGCTGACTACTCCCATTTCTGCCCACCCCCCTCTGATATTTGTACTTCTGCAAAACCGTGAGCTTTTCAGGTGAATGGTCCTATCTCTGCTGCACTAGGAATGGCGCTCATGCTTGGACGTTGGAAATAAAGGGAATGAGTGGGTGTCTGTTGTTGTCTGAAAAGCTCTCTCAAAAGGCGGGTGTAGGGAGGAGCCCCTGGGAGTAGAATTGGCAACCTTGCATGTAGGATTGCCACATCTATCAAGCCAGCAGAGCTGCAGTTTGGAGCAGCTTTCTGGGAAGTTTAATATTTTTTGGACTGCTCCAGCCCACCCAGCTTGAACATTGCACCCTCCCAGAAAGGAAGGGCCCCCCTAAACACTGAACATAGGGAGCTACCTTACCTGTAGCTCAACATTGCCTACACTGACTGGCAGCAGCTCTCTAGTGTTTTAAGCAGGAGCCTCTCCCGCCCCTACTAGGATTGAACCTGGGACTTTCTGCATGCAAATCCCATCCTTTGCTACTGGGCTGTGGCCTTTCTCTGCAGCACACACTGCCCACACTTTTCTAGGCTTCGCCCTAGAATGCATGACGACTAGAAACATGGAATGGGCTGGCTGCATCCTTCCCCCAAGAGAGCAGGGAAGGAGCCCAAAGAGAAGTACAAGCTTGCAAGAGAAGCTCTCTGTGTGTGTGCTTGGGATCATCTCCTCTTCCCCATTCATCTTCTTCTGTGTTTTAAATGCATCCAGCCAACACCCAACTCAATCCTGGGTCCAGCATGCAGCTGTGCTGTCAGCTGTCTGGTCGTTTCCTGCATTGTCTGGCCGGCCTGTGGTACTCTTGGGAGGGGAAGACGGTGAATCAGCCTTGGAATGTATGCAGGCAGACCCAGAGGTCATCCCAGGGAGAGAGGCTTAGCCAGAGTGGAGCTCAGTTCCTGAGCTCTGGGTCTTATAAAGGCAGGTGCCTGGAATGCCACACAGTTCCAGGGGGGAGAGGAGCTAGGACAGGAGGCCTCACTGTGCTAATTTAGTCTTCCAGGATGAGTCTTCTTGTAGATAAGGGACTTTTTCATCCCGAGAGCCACATTCCCTTCTGGGCAGCCTTCCAAGGGCCACATTCAGTGGTGGGCAGGGCCAGAGGCAGAAGTGGGCGGAACAGCAGATGTAAAGTTGACCTTCCTACAGCAGGCTGGTTTCTACACACACACACACACACACACACACACACACAGTGGAGCCAGGTGAAAACACTCAAAGCTACAAACAGATTTTATTTTATTGGAAGCAAGTAACATGGATATAAGCACTAAACTTGCACTATATTCCACCATATTTTCAGAAGCGGCCTACACTTCATGTGAAATCTCAGTGTGGGACTTAGCTGTTAGGGGACAGTTGTGGAAATGGAATAAACTGTCATGTGAAGTTCCTCATTACTGCAGGTTTGATTATGTGTGTCACCTCAGTACCACACATTTGATCGGAATTGCAGCCCCAGGTGGAAGGATTTGTTCTGCGATTTATTGGGGATGGCATCAATGTAATTTCAATCACCTGGAAATTTCCCCATCTATCTCTTCTCTCCCTGCTCCCCCTATCATCTTCCTGTGGTGTGTTTCCAGTTTTGTGGTTCAACAGCTGAGTGTCAGGTAGAAATTCAATAGTGTTTCCTATCTTGGACCTGGGGAAAGTCCCGGGATGGAAACTGGCACAGGAGAGACCAACATTCCCAGCATCCCTAGTTAGGGCTAGGAGAGAATCCTGTCTGAAATCATGGAGAGCTGCTACTAGTCTGTGTAGACAATATTGAGCTAGATGAACCAATGATCTGGCTTGTTGTAAGTCTGCTTCCTGCGTTCTCCTCTTTCTGTTTGCAGATTTGTTGCAGCTCAGACACAGTAAATTCCCATGATGACAACCCATATTCCCTCCCCCTTGTCTTCTCTTGGCTGAGGTCCTAGGAGAAACCCTCCTGCAGGCCTTTATTTGGAGCCCCCCCCCCAGTGAACTGTATAGACCCAGTTAATGCCCCTGTTACCTTAAGCAATGCCTGTGTGGAGTCTGAATTCTGCAGGCAGAGTTCAACAGACAACACCCTGGGGTCTGTGTCCAGCCGCAATAAGGTATCTGCACCCTCAGTGAATGGAAGCTTAGACAGATGGTTTACACAACCATGTCAAACTGAAACCAGGAATGTATTTTAACTCTTCCCCCTTTTCTCTTTAGGAGGTGAAGATTTTCCGAGCCCTAATCCTTGGAGAACTGGAGAGGGGCCAGAGTCAATTCCAGGCACTTTGCTTTGTCACAAGGCTCCACCGCAATGAGATCATTCCCAGTGAGTCCATGGCCAAGCTAAGACAGGTGAGAAGATGGAGGGATGGTCATTGGTTCTTGCATTTAGGGTAAAGTGACCCTAAGGCACATGATTCGTCTTTTTGTTCTTTAAATTTACTGGTCCCCTTTTCAGTGGAGCAGGGATCAATGTCCTAGGTGACTTTCAGAAAATAATTGTGACAACTAACCGAGATTTTCAAATGTTTGCATAAAAGGTGCAAGTATTTACCATGTCCAGTGAATTAACTATGCACAACCCATCCTCAGATTCACCCCCCCCCATTGGATTAGAACAAATTCTGCTGCAGGCCAGTATTAGGAGCCCTACCTGGGCACTGTGTATAGCCCTGTTAAATAAGCCACTTAAGTCAGCACCTCGATGGAACCTGAACACAGGAGTTCATGGTTCATCGCAGCAGGCATTCACCTGCTTGCAAAAGGGGGAAGAGAGAGGATTTTCTTGGTGGATTTCTAGGCCACAAAGCTGCTGTTTCTATAGAAAAAGGTGTGGCATTCGTACGGAGGCCCCGGTCGTCTCACGGACTATTGACCCCTACACCACTAATCCCCTGCCACCAGCCAGGTCCTCCCTGGTAAAATCACTTCAGTCTCAGTCAGCTTTTCAATTAATAAAGAAGAGTGTATTTTATTTCAGACACAAACAAAACTTTTACAGCATTCCAAATGTTGTTGCTCTTTACTTTCTTAGTCTTATTTTCCTCTCTCTATCTCTTTTACCTCCCCACACTCAAGAACCCACTGCCCTGTCTCTCTATTACCAACTGCCTTTCCCAACCAGCCAACCCACGAACTCCAACCAACTGCCCACCAACAACTCCCAAGGAACTCCTCCCAGAACTAGTTTTATAGACCCACTGACTCCACCCCCCTGGGTCCTGTCTGTGCAACCTATTTAACTATTTCCCCTCCAGCACTCTCTCATATATGTTAACGTCACAAAAGGCTCTGCTGTGGCTCCCCATTAATCGCACTTCAGAGCCTAACAAACAAGTTGCATGCAACAGAAACCCAACCAGCTGCTTTTGTCAAGTGAAGGCAACTTTGCAAGGAATGGGATAAGGAGTGGAGAAGCAGCAGGAGGGAAATGCCTAACCCTTTCCCCTACATGTCTCCACTCCAGCTTTATCTCCCCAAGCAATTTTTTCTCTTTACAACATCCAGACACGCAGTTGCCCCTCTTGAACACCTGCTTGGAGACCCACGGAGGGAAAACCAGCTTGGGGGGTAGATTTGGAGCAAAGAAATTGCAGGCAGAAAAAGGGAGTTTTATCCTTTCCCTCCCGCCACCTTTGCAAAGTTGTCTTCCCCACACCCTGTCCCCTGTTGTGTGGTCCCAGTAAACAATAAGTTTGGCTTGTTGTGTGGTGTGAACCAAGGCAAGATTACATCCTTCCACTAATTCTTTTTTTTAAAATAAATATTTTTTATTAGATTTTCCATTAAAAAAAAAACATTTTTACAAAATTATACATCCATTTTTAACTTAAACCCTTTTTTCCAGAACTTCCCTCAGCTTGTCTGATAATTTCCCGTTTATTTTTTATCCTTGTCTCACATTTCCCAATATTATATTGTGTGGTGTGAACCAAGGCAAGATTACATCCTTCCACTAATTCAGCTATATCTTAACTGAATTTGAATTAACATTGCAAGTGTTTCTAGCAAACAGGAAAGCTTTTGAGTAATTTCCTTAATTTTAGCACTTACTATTTTGGTCAATTTAGTATATTTGTGTTAATGAAGAGGCAGTTAGATTTTTATTTAAAAATATGTCTCTTCCCCCCCCCCCATCCCAGTTGATGAGGCATGGTTGCCTCATATGTCAGTGCTGCTTTTTTTAATGGTAAACTGCTGTGAGTTTTAGGGGAGCAGACAATGAACTATTTATGCCTGCGTGCTTCTATTCATTTATGGTAGTTAAATACGCAGACCGACCCTCAGCGAAAAACAGCTGTTGGGTTTTAAAATGACATTGGTGATAGCAAAGCTGATGAGACTTTTCCACTGCTTTCTCCCTGGCCAGAAAAATCCACGGACTGTGCGGCAAGCCGAAGAGGTGCGTGCCCTTGAGCATCTCAGCATGGATGTAGCTGTCAACTTCAGCAAAGGGGCTCAGCTCAGCTCCCACATCCACAACGTCTGTGCGGAGGCCAAAGAGGCCATCTACACCCGGGAAGAGGATGTGAAGTTCTGGCTGGAGAAAGGTAGGTGGCGCCGTTCCCATTTGACATCTTCCTTCTGCAGCAGTGACAGTGGAGAATGGCAAGAATAGCTAACGGCTGGCCCTCTCCAGATGTTGCTGGACTCCAACTCCCATCAGCCCCAGCCAGCATGGCCCGCTGATCATGGAAGAAGCATGGGGAACCTGGTTCAAGGAGTCTGATGCAGAAGGTAGCAAGCAAGAAAAGGCACCTGAGGAGAATGGGTGGGTTTAGGGCAGGCATGGCCAAACTTGGCCTTCCAGCTGTTTGGGGACTACAATTCCCATCATCTCTGACCACTGGTCCTGTTAGCTAGGGATGATGGGAGTTGTAGTCCCAAAACAGCTGGAGGGCCAAGTTTGGCCATGCCTGGTTTAGGGCATTGGACACCTTTGGATGTTGGAGGCTGGTAAAAACTAGAGGAGCTTTGGTCCGCATTCACACCATACATTTAAAGTGCTATGATACCACCTGAAACATTTGTGGCTTCCCCCAAAGGATTCTGGGAGCTGTAGTTTGTTAAGAGCGCTAAAAGTTGTTAGGAGGCTCCTTATTCCACTCAGAGAGCCACACTTCCCAGAGTGGTTGAACAATCAATCCCTCTTCCTAGGGAACTCTGGGAATGGTAGTTCTGTGCGGTGGACAGGGGCCTCAACAATTCTCTGTTTTTATTTATATAATTTTTATTAAATTTTGTGTTTTATAATTTAAACTACTCCTTTTACGTCCTTAAGATATCAATGACTTCCCTTTTTCTCTTTCCATTTTACATATCATAAATCCCTGCATATTTTACAAAAACTGTACTATTCAGTATTCCATTATTGGGTCCCTCAAAACTTGTTTACACTGTTGAATTTATCTTGATGCTGCCAGCATTTTCAGCTGCATGCAATTATTTCCCATATATTCAATAAACATTTGCCAATCTTCTTTAAATATATGTTCTTCTTCTCTTATTCCAGGGGTCAGCAAACTTTTTCAGCAGGGGGCCAGTCACTGTCCCTTAGAACTTGTGGGGGCCGGACTAAATTTTTTGGGGGTGGGGAAATGAATGAATTCCTATGCCCCACAAATAACCCAGAGATGCATTTTAAATAAAAGCACACATTCTATTCATGTAAAAACACTCTGATTCCCAGACTGTCCATGGGCCAGATTTAGAAGGCGATTGGGCCAAGTCTGCCCCCCGGGCCTTAGTTTGCCTACCCATGTTGTATTCTATATGTTAAGTCTGCAAGTTGTGCATATTCTGACAACTTAAGTTGCCATTCTTCTTTAGTTGAGACCTCGCTCGTTTTCCAGTTTGGGGCTAACAAAACATGGGCCGCATTAGTAGCATACATAAATAGTCATTTTTGACACCAGGGGCCTCCTAACAATTCTCAGCCCCCTTAACAAACTACAGCTCCTATAATTATTTGGGGGGAGCCATGACTGAGCCAGAGGGATGCGGGTGGCGCTGTGGGTTAAACCACAGAGCCTAAGACTTGCCGATCAGAAGGTCGGCGGTTCGAATCCCCGCAACGGGGTGAGCTCCCGTTGCTCGGTCCCTGCTCCTGCCAACCTAGCAGTTCGAAGGCACATCAAAGTGCAAGTAGATAAATAGGTACTGCTCCAGCGGGAAGGTAAACAGTGTTTCCGTGCGCTGCTCTGGTTCACCAGAAGTAGCTTAGTCATGCTGGCCACATGACCCGGAAGCTCTACGCCGGCTCCCTCGGCCAATAAAGCGAGATGAGCGCTGCAACCCCAGAGTCGGTCACGACTGGACCTAATGGTCAGGGGTCCCTTTACCTTTACCTATGACTGAGCCAGGGGCATTGCAGTGCTGTAAACAGCATAAGGCAGCTTCCTAGGTCCCCATGCCAGATCATTTCCAAATCCAGCACAACCATTCTGGTTAAAGCCCTAAAGGAGTGGAGACCCAGGTACCTTGAGGACCACCTCCTCCCTTATGAACCCACCTGAGTGCTTAGGTCCTCGGTGGAGACCCAGCATTGGCTGAGATCTCTTAATAACTCTCAGCACCCTTAACAAACTGTGGTTCCCAGGATTCTTTGGGGGAAGCCGTGATTGTTCAAAGAGCTATCGCAGTGCTTGGATGCGGCCTTGGCACGGGAAGTGACTTTCTGTCTTTGTGGCTCTCTTGCAGGCGTGGACGGCTCCATGTTCGAGGTCCTGCCCCAGTCGGCTGACCTTCCCAACTTGCAGCGGTGCCGCCTGTGTGCAGATCGCTGGAGGCCCTGCATCTGCAGCTATGCGCTGAGCATCGAGTGGTACCCCTGCATGCTCAAGTACTGCAAGAGCCGCGACGCTGCTGGGAAGGTCTCCTCCTACAAGTGTGGCATCCGCAGCTGCCAGAAGGGCTACAGCTTTGACTACTACGTGCCGCAGAAGCAGCTGTGCCTTTGGGACGAGGAGACCTAGCAGGGCGCCCAGGCAGCCATTTTGTCCCATCGGTGCTTCCCTTCCACCTCCCTTCATGTGGTTCTGGGTCGCTCTGCCAAGATGGCTGCCTAGGAAAGGAGGAAGGTGCGGGGCCTAGAGGGGAGGTGGGGCACCTGTCAGGACTCCATTTTATAAAGCCTTCGTGTGGGTCTGTCAAACTCCTTTTCTACACATCTGTGAAATCCCTCGGACTTGGGGATATAGGCTACATTTGACTATGACCTTGCCTAAGAAGATGGTGAGCTGTTGGCACAAGGACGTGCTCTAGGATAGAGCTGGGGTTGTTGAAGCCTCGGGACCAGGCCCATCATGCACCGTTTGACCATTGGCCCTCTTGAATTCTTAAGGTCCTTGACAACCCAGACTGAAATGTGACCCACTACACTCTTTCTGTATCGTCAGGACAATTGAGGGGAAAGAACAGAGGCTCTTCCTTGACAATCTTCCGGAAGGAATATGAGAACAGACGAGTAAGGAGGCTCCTCCAAGCACCACACTTTTATGGGTGTTTAATCTGCCCAGTGGTGGTCATGTGGAGCTTGAACCTGTGGCCTCCATATCGAAGCTCTTGAACCTGAAGAGCGCCCTGAAACTTGCTACCTGGGTCAACCAGCAGAAGGAAACAAGCAGCCACAACAAGATGGCTGTTCTACCTTGAACACGCAATGCTCATGTGACGAGACATCAGAACTGGTGTCTAGGTGTGGTGTTCCTGCCCCCTGCTCCTTTTGCATAGTGATGGCAGGAAGATCGCAGAATAGCAGGATTGACACCAACCTCAGAAACAATGCATCACATCCCCTAAACAGCAGACCCCTGCAGCAACCAGTGCTTGTTATTGGTTTCAGCAGTATGGCTGTACCAGGCTATACCCAGCAGATGCCCCTTGATCAGCTGACTGGCTGAGGTGGAAGAGCATAACTGAGACCTGCCTCTTGACCCCAGTTGGCTGGTTCACTGAAGAGACCTGTCTCTTGTTCCCGATTGTTCCCCCCAAGGAGGAGGAAACACCAACCAGGTTCCAGTTAGACGTACTTACACTCCAACCTTGCTAGCATCTGTCTCCCAGTGGCTGAGGATCAGTGGGCAGCTAGGAACCGAAGCAAGAATGAGAAACCTATGGTCGTCTAGCAGGGGCAATAGTCAGCAATGGCTAACAAAATCTGCAGGACAATAGGCTCCCCATCCTTGCAGTATAGGAAAGTAACCCTGAAGATGTCCCAGATGCCTGCAACTCCAGGGTAGCCAGCATGGTTTGGACTCTTAACTCCCATCAGCTCCTGCCAGCATCACCAAAGGTCACTACAGTGCTGTAGTGCAGCAGCAGCTGGACTACCTTAGGTGTCGTCCCCCCACATCCTGAGCTAACAGATGCCAATGAGCATTTCACAGGCTTAAGCACTATGGTTCTGTTTTGAGATCCAAAGCCCCTGTTCCTTCCTTTCTTGTTAACAGAAAGCAATGTGCCTGTGCATTTCTACATGATGCAATATCCCCAAAATGTGATAGGACGAATTGATGACAATCCCCAATTTTGAAAGAGACTCTACTGATCAAGCCAAGGGGAACAAAGTAATATGAGGTGACCACTGTGCAACACTGGTGTCAGAAGTGGCCCAAGCTACAGGAGTATGTGGGCATGCCCAGGCATGAAGGAGAGAGTCTGATTTAGCTGTGATTCCTGCATTGTAGGGGGTTTGGACTGCCAGATGACCCTTGGCATCCCTTCCAACTCTATGATTAAGGCATAGAAACCGTCCCTCTATGCTAATGCCTGTCTCTCCAGCTCCTATCTCAGTGGCAGAGCAATCCAAGCCTTAAAGTGCTGGTTACGTGATAGAGGTGGTACTAGGAAATGCACTTGAATGTAGACATTAGACTTGCGGTGAGCTTGACAAAAAGGCTGGTGGTGATGGGTGCAAGTTCCATCCCCATCACTTCCGGGGAAACTGTACCCTGTGACTGCGCCTCAGTTTCCCTTATGTGTAAAATGTAGTGGAGAAAGGGGGAGTGGTGGCAATCATGGAGCAATGTACAAAGTTTAGCAGATTTGTTGCCTAGGATTTTTACATCCCCTTTTCCCAGGAGATGGGTAACAGAAGAGCAGCTTACCAACTGGAACCTTACTGCGCAGGGCAGGGGGTGCCCACCAGTGTGCCTGCATTGGGGGTATGTGGATTATATGCCCCTTGCGTCCCTTCTGACCCTATAGTCCTATGGACAAAATGCTCTTCATTAAGGTCATGCAGTTGGGGTTGATGGGAGCTGGAGTCCAACAGCATCGATGGAGGGACCACCTTGGCACAACTTGGCTTATGAGGTCTGGGTAGCCCCTTGGTGAACCAGCCTATCAATCAGTTGAGGAAAAATTGTGCACATTCCATTGAGATTTGCAGTAAAATGGCTATTGGTGTACTAACCAACCATGGCAGGATGTAAAGAGGAGACCTGTTTGGTCAGGCCAGAAGCCCATCACACCAGCATCCTTCATCCCATTAATAGCCCCATCCTCCATTACTTTGCCTTCTTCCCCTTTAAAGCCACCACTGGCACCTTGTGGCAGGGAATTCCACAAGTTTGTGTTCAGTTGTGCGAGCAATGGAGGAGAAACCCCACTTAACCATTGGTGAGGACCCCATAATTTGATCTGCAATGTACTGCCCTGTTTTCTTTATGGCAGGGCTCACATGCTGAATTCAAGAGACCCTCTTTTCCCCCCACCGCAGAGATGCAGTGAAGGGCAGCTTTACCGGCTTGACTTCTGCCTGCCATGCAGCTGCTTAAAGGCACAGGGGTCTTACCCAGGCAGGGGGGGAGAGGAAGGGAGGTCAACCACATTCTGCAACCCTCCCTCCCCTCTTTTTCGTTGCCATCGCCTCCTCCATGCCTCCTTCCACCGCAATGTGCCTTTTTCTCTTCTCAACTCTGGACATTTCAGTCCACAGAAGTTCAAACTTTTAGTGTTTCATTTCAAAGTCATTGTTCTGTGTGTTCTTGAGCCTTTCTCACAGAATTATTTTTGTATGCATCTCTCCCGAGGAGAAGGGGGGGTGATGGGGAAGGGGGGGTCAGAGTTGCTTTTAAAAAAATGCCACATGAAGTGAAACAAATGTAAAACTTGAATGGAAAGTATTTTAAAGCAAAGTATTTATCATATGTAAGGTGAATAAACTGATTTCTTTTGTTTGTTTAATGCACTTTCTCCAAGGAGTCTCGGTCTCTCTATGTGCCACTCACATACAGTAACAATTTGTGCTAGAGACAAATCTAACTGGTGCATCTTTTATTTTATTTTATTTTATTTTATTTTATTTTATTTTATTTTATTTATTTTATTTTATTTTATTTTTGCATGGGAACAACTTGATTAGTCTGCAAAGAATGCCATGATTTTACATGTATGTCTGTACCATATTGCAGATGTGATTCCGCCATATTTTTTTGCCAGCAAAAACATTGTCTGTTTCTCCCCCCCCCCACCGCCCATCCCCACACTTTGTGACTAACTCAAAAGCTAGCTCCACTGCTTTGTGTGATTTTTAGTTGCCCCTAATAAATGTGCTATATTATTGCCCCTATTTAGAGTTTTGCTAATGGATTCAGCACTGCTGGTTGCCTTCTGGGGTGACATATTCAGTAACTCCACTAAGGGGCACTGCACAACCTTGAGATTAAGGGTCTCATGCTGTACCAACTGAGCTATCCCAAATCCTGGGATATGGTGGGACTCCAACTCCCATCAGCTCCAACATGCAAGGCTAATGGTTAAAGGGCGATGGGCGTTGTAGTCCTGCTCTAGAGCGAAAGAGAGTAAACTGCTAAAATGATTTTAAAAAGAAAAGGAAAAAAGCAGATACCATGTTAGATGTTGGGAGAAAACAACACTGGAGAAACAGCAGTAAATGCCATGCATTGTTCCAAAGTGGTCCACAAGGGAGCGCTGTGTCCCTGTCTTTTCTCATTCCAGCAAGCAGCGAAAGGGAAAGGGTACTAGACAGCTACAGCATTAGGAGAAAGCAGATAATAAGCCTTCATTAGACTGCGGACATTGCACAGTTCTTTCACTGAGTTTTAAACCGTGTTTGCACATTGTCGTACACGGCAGGGTTTGATGAGTGTCTAAGATGCCTGCTGTACATCCACACCAGTGGGCAGAGTTCGGATGTCTTCACTCAAGCACTTCTCAATTCAGATTGAATCCAGTTTGGGGGAGAAAAGCACCCAAACACAGTTTTTTGCAAGAAACTACAGGATAGGTGTGGATTGTGGCTAATGTCGTGTGTGCACAGCTCCCCAAACCAGTAGGTGGAGCATACTGGATGCGGAGTAAATGGGAATAGATGCACAGCCTAAGACTGTTCACACCCTCTCCCTTTGGGTGTTAGGAACTGGTACTGCCCTGGAGAGCTGGGCAGTAGAAATTGGGCAGATTTAAAGCACTTATCTCCTTGGGGGCTGGAGGTACAGACTAGAGGATAATAGGAGTTTTTAAAAGACATGGGTGCCACAATCTTTAGCTGGTAGAGATGGTTCACATGATAATTGCACCGACATGTTCACTGACTGAACATCACTGCAACATCCAGTGATGTGTTGCATGGGGGAACAGGCCAATGGCCCAGCCAAAATATTCTGTGTCTGCTATCATTTTGAACATGGCACTTTTCTAAAGGGTTCACATACAATTATGCCAGTTGAAGAGTAGGTGACCCCAAGGCTCACCTAGTCTAATCCCCTGCGATGGAGGAAGCACAGCTAAAGCATCCCTGACAGCAGACTGTCCAACCTCTGTTCAGAAACCTCCAGTGAAAGAGAGTCCACCACCTTCTGAGGTGGTCCATTCCACCGCCGAACAGCTCTTACCAGCAGAAAATTATTCCTAACGTTTAGTAGGGATCTCCTTTCTTGTCATTTGAATCCATTGGTTTGTGTGAAACTGCTGACTACAGCCTTCTCCAGAAATTATGCTCAATCGGGTGTGGAGTGGTTTTCCAGTCTGAGGGCCAGTGTGGTGTAGTGGTTAAGAGTGGTAGACTCGTAATCTGGTGAACCAGGTTCGCTTTCCCGCTCCTCCACATGCAGCTGCTGGGCGACCTTGGGCTAGTCACACTTCTCTGAAGTCTCTCAGCCTCACTCACCTCACAGAGTGTTTGTTGTGGGGAAGGAAGGGAAAAGAGAATGATAGCCGCTTTGAGACTCCTTAGGGTAGTGATAAAGCGGGATAGCAAATCCAAACTACTACTCTTCTTCTTCTTCTTCTTCTTCTTCTTCTTCTTCTTCTTCTTCTTCTTCTTCGCAACATGAGAGTGGCAGGCAGCACGTGAGTCAAAAGTGGCCAAAGCAGCAGATAATACATTTTAACTTAAATCGGTAGGCTGGTTGCTACACACACACAACCAGCTCTCTCTGGCCAGGAGAGAGGAGGTGTGGCTTGGGGAGAGTCTTGAGGGCCAATGTCTGGCCCTCGGCCCTGAATTCCCCCACCCCTGCTGACGATCCTGCCCCCTGCTTCACACGCATGAAGAGTGGAGATCTGCAACAGGGAAGCATTCACAAGCAGTCTTGTACATGCGAAATCTTCCATGCGACTGGGAACAGCAGAAGCGTGGAGCCTTTGCATGTAAGGCTCTGCATAAGAAAGCTTCCATGGTTGCAGATGTTTGCACAGAAGGTGCTGGTGCCAGACGCCGCTCCCTGATCTCTTGCTGATTGAACTCGTGGGCGTAATTTCTAAAGAGGGCTTATCATGTATCGGAATCAAGGGAAAAGAAATCATATGCCAGGACTTTCCATCGATGAGCCAGCTCTAATTTCCCCTGGATCAGGACCAAGGCTTCTCAGTGGACTACCTTCCTCCTTTCAGCTTCAAGCTGTCAGTGTCTCCATGCAGAAAACCATTCCAGAGTTGTGCACTTGGGGACCACAGCAGCTCAGTGGGACGCCTTGTTCTCCCTTGCAGATTGAACAGCCAGAGTGGTCTCTGGTATTATGCCTGTCCTCTCTCTCTTCCCACCACCTTTACCAGCTAATGATTCATTTCCAGGTCCAATTCAAAATGCAAAAATGACCTGCTTCCCTCCATATGAATGCTGCTAGCATCCTGCCCTCCTCTTCTGAGACATTGCTCCATCTGTCTCCACACCATTGGGGAGTGTTTGGTTGGGATCTGGAGCAGGGCCTTTTTTGGTTGTGGCACCCCAATTATTAAACCCTCCCTAGAGAGTTTTGGTTGACTCCTCTTCAGAGTTTAAGGAGGGTGGCAAAGACTTTCAGAATCCCATTGCCTATTTGATCTATCTCAAAATTGTAGGGGAGTGTTGTCATCTTCTCACCTTCCAAAATGGCATTGTAGGCTTTTAAAAGCGGCTCACTCTTGTTTTGCTCCTGTAGAGAGAAATGAAGGAGCCAGCTGCAACGTAGCTCTGGACACTAGATGAACATGTGAACAGTGCATGTGTGAACCTCGTGTACAGAGATATCAAGAAACCAGTGGCGATGCACCTCTGGGAACCAGGTGCAACCCTGTGTATGATGTGTGATATTACCCACTAGATTTCAGCTTTGCAGATTAGGGCAGAAAATGGGGGAAGGAAGGGTGAGAAGTCTGAGCTCTTGTGTTGCTTGCTTTGTTCTTTTGCAAAAAGCGGGGGGGGGGGGTGTTGATCTCTCTCTCTGTCTCTCTCTCTCTCTCTCCTGAATTTTCCACACTCTTATAATGGACTTTTGGAAGGCATGTCATCATATGTGAGCAGAGCAGCATTTTGTTTTCTTTCCCACTTCTTCTCTGCAGATTTCTTTTTTGGGGGGGCAGCATTGTAGATGCCAGGCTGAGAGTTCTTCTCCCTTACCTAAACTCTAGAACAGGGGTGGGGGGAGTTGTTGCAGCTCAGATTTCAGAAAGGAAGGTTCACTGTTGATTTGCATAAAGTTTATGCAGATTGACAGCTTTGCATAATTTGCATAAAGCTTGCCTTACTCTTTCGTAATCAGGCTGGCCAGTTTCCCCACCCTGCCAGGCTCACCTGTCTCCCTTAATCCTCCCGGCTGCTAATGGGAGTTGAATATCTGAGGTGGGATGCAGGTGGAGAAATTCAGTTCAGTTTTACTGTGAAAATTTCCTACTTTTCACTTTCCCAAAACAATAGGAGGACCAAAGCACAGTTCTCCTTCCAAAATCACACTGCTTTGAACTTTGGAGTGTTCTTCAGCAAATATGTGCTAGGGGAAAGCAAGCATAAATATGCATTTATTAGTGAAAATAACATAAAAAATGAAAGGCTGGGGCAACCCAGTCATATGGGTGGGGTACACATAATAAATTATTATTATTATTATTACTTGCAAGAATGTGCATATCAGGAAAAATTGCATGCAGAAATTTGAGTACAGTAGTAGGAGAGACAAATAGCTAAATGCTGCTGAATATTTTCAATGACCCTTTTAAAGAAGCAAAATGATGTGGAAATGTTCATTCCTAGCCACAGGTAATGTACTCCTTGTCCAGATAGCTAAGTTTAACTGCCTTTTTGGTGTTGTGCTGGGTCAGCGGAGCCAATCCAAGGATCTCACTAGACCATCCAGATGGTTGCAATATGCATTGCTGGAAAAGGAAATCCATCACCGATAAAAAGGGCAAAAGAAGGGACAGAGCTGCATAAAATTAGCATGTGCTAATGTGTATATAGAGTTGCATACTTAGACATCATTACTATAATTTCAATAGAAATATAATCTGTCTTGCCATTGTTGGGAAGTCTGTGGCCAAGAGACCTGTGGACACATTCAGTCTGGTTCTAACCATGGATTGGCAACCCCAAAGCTTCTCCTCCTCTTCCTTTCAAGCATTTAAACCAAAGGGTTTAAAGGACTTAAGGTGGGCATAGCTCCGTGGGAGAGCATCTGATCTGCATGCAGAAGGTCCTACCTGAAGACATCTTCAGGTAGGTCTGGAAGAGGACACCTTCTGAAATCTTGGAGAGACACTGCCCGTCAATGTAAAAGGTAAAGGTAAAGGACCCCTGGACAGTTAAGTCCAGTCAAAGGCGACTATGGGGTAGCAGCGCTCATCTCACTTATAGACCAAGGGAGCGAGCGTTTGTCCACAGACAGTTTTCCAGGTCATATGGCCAGCATGACTAAACCGCTACTGGCGCACGGAGGACTGTGATGAGTGCCAGAGCTCACGGAAACACTGTT